TTGTTATTATTTAGTATTATTATCATTTATTATTATTATTAATTACAATAATAATAATATTATTATTATTAATTATTATCCATGTAGCCAACGTCATCTCTATTTCTATTTTTATATATGTAAATCTAAAGAATGTAAAGATGTGAATGTTCTATTTTTAAAGAACTTTGTAAATAAACCTTTTCTTTCAACAGTTGCTGATGTTTGATAAGATGAAGTAGTTAGAGCTAAGTGCCACTTAATCATTTCAAACGGTGAACTGTTTCGCAATTGAATCATTAGTAGTGATGCGCCAGAACTTAATTTTTGTCTCTGAAATGGAAAAGTCGCTGAAATGTATTACCCTATCCTATTTCCATCCAGCTCTACTGATATGTATGAGAATTGTTTCATAATCTGAAGAAAAAAAAAACGCGAAGTAATATGCATGGCCAATGTTGTAATCTAATTCAAATGTAAAGATGTATTATGTATGTAAATCTAAAGAATGTAATGACATGGTTGGGTTTTTTGTATATCGATTATATCAACAAAAATTATACACTGCAGTCAAGGATACCTGCATTTTACACTTCGTTGAAGATTTTATCAAATATTTTTTGTTAAGATTCGGAACTTTATTAGAGGATCTCTAAAAAATTAATTTCGTTCAATCGTATACAAGAATAGAGCTAGATGAAAGTACGACAGGCTTGTGTTGTAATACATCAAGGAAATGATATTACTTTCAGAACAATGCGTAATGGAAAATCTCTCCTCTTTGAGGCGCATTTGTCCATCTCGGCTTGCAAACGTACTCCAAAGGATAACTGGAACAAAAGATAACTGTGAGATTAGGGAAATTTATGTTGAATTCATCCATCTTAGCACCTTTATGAAAGAGAAAAAGAAGGAAAGAAGGATGTTCAAGCTTAAAAACACTATCATTGTTTGTATGATGGATGTGAGCATTAATTTCTACCCATAAATAGAAAAAAAAATTGTTTTTGAAAACATATCGGTCTCTTTTCATTTCTCTTTGTTTTAATGATGAAAAAAATTCGAAATTCCATCAAATTTCGACGAAATAAACGAAATTTTCCTCATTTTTGTTGCTCAAAAAACAGAAGTTTTAGCAATTGCAATCATCTGAATTTAATACGGACAATTAGTCGTCATTTGCATAAAAAAAGCAGCACCACCGCAATGCATCATCATCAATACAGGTGAGAATAGTACCAGTTACAGCTACTGTTTCATTAAATGACTTGACAATATTTATTGCATTTTGGCCGGTCATTGCACCGTCTACTAAAATGGTGAAGTTATTTTCCTTATAGCTTTCAATTCAGAAATGTTAAAGAGGAAGCTTTTCTAGAATAGGAAGTTTTACTTGAAATCTTACCTGCATAGCCAACTGATCCACTTCAGCAATGCGCTTCTTGACTTCTTCATACTTTTGTAATGTGTCATTCATAGCTTGAGCGCAACAACCAACGGAAAGGATGTTCCCTGATTTTGGCCTTGATTCCCGGTTATCTCCTCCAGAAATCGTTACTCCACTTTCGCTGGCGTCCAAATCCATAGCATCGATGTTTTCTTCATCGATCTCTTCCGGAAATATGAAATCATCCATGTCGAAATATCTATTCGTATACGACTGCTAACAATAATCTGAAAATCGTTGTTCACAATACCACGACAGACTATGCTTCCATTTGAAGTTTCTCGCAGCATCAATATACTTCACCAGTATCAAATTGAATGGAATGGTACATGTAAAAAATAAGCTCCTTTATGATTACTTTGACAGTTATCAGTTGATTAACTTTTTTCTGGATAAAATGCATGAAGCACCTTTAACATTAAAAAATTTATCACAGATTGTAACAGCAGAGCAATTAAAGTGACAAGAACTGAGAAAACCAAAATTTTAAAGAACTGATGGATTAATGACAAGAATGAGAACTTGACTTATTTTGGCCTTGAATAAATGCAGCGAAGACTGACTTTGTCAGATCTTTGATTTAACATATCTCTTACACCTTGCAACCTTGCACCGAAAAACACTGAACAATAAAGGATTTAATTTGAATTATACCAAATAATAGAATAATTTCGTCTTCAATTGTACCAAATGTAAGTTAACATTATTCTAATTCAAAAATGTCTAGGATACTGTGAAGTGTTTTAAACAAGTCAAAGTCTATCATCTGAAATCAATGACAAAGAAAAATCTTGGCAGATCAAATTTTTGGAGCGACGTAACTAAAATAGCTACATTGGATATTTAGCTATGCTTCAGTAGAAAAAAGTGTCATACATATGAGAAAATAATCCTAGTGAATTAATATCTAAGTTATGTAGCAAGCGTCAGCTTTTATTCATTTGCTGTCGTTTTTCCCGCTGATGTTTTTCGATAGCGCATGACCTTTTCCTCCTAGCGAATTCTCTATTTTCCGTCTTCTGTTCCCTGTAAATATGTTTAAAAACTTATATATAACTGATAGATGTCACCTTCTCAACATTTATTGTTCTACAGGTATTATCGATCCAAATACAAGTGCAAGAGTATTCCAAAACGCATAAAATTTAATAATTCCTTCTTATTAAATGACTAAAATATATTTCTACAGCGCATGCAACATCTCTTGTACTGATAACGAACCTTCACTTTTTTTTGAAACATCACCCCTTTTCATCAAACAGCAGTTCATATATATGATAAATAAGATTACTGTTGAAAAAGACTCCTTTATGAATTAAACGACTGTTTCTCTCATTAAGAAAAGGAGTTATCGCTGTTGATCCCACAAGTTTTGTTTTATTAAATATTTGCAAGTATTATTTTATCATATTTACATCATATCAAATATGTGAAACAACTAACACTTCATTGCCAAATTTCGCAACTTTTTTTTTCGCCTGAACATTATTAATTACATGTTGCTTTTTTGTTGGCTCATTTTCTGGTTTGAGGACAATATATCTGTAAAACAAGCAAACTTTCGTGGATTAAGATATTTCAAAGTGGAGAGTGTCAGTTTATAGATTGTGAGAAAAAAACTCCAGCGTCATACATCCCTATGCTATTCAGATATATTTAGTGCACCATTTTTGGTGCTTTGAGAATAAAAATAAATCATAATTCATCCATAACTATCACTTTTCCCAAGTGAGAATGCAGTGCAGTCCTAATTTAGTCTTTCTAATTGCATAGTTGGAGGAATCAAATCTACAAGCACTAAATATTACTTCAAACTGCTATCCTGTGTTGTATTCTGTGAAGTGCTGGCCGGAGTGAATTCGATGTTATAATTGATCAACGTATGTATCGTTGAAGCCATTAACTAGAATAACAAATTTTGATGTTACACTGATGAAAATGAGTTTTCCGTTGCTGAATTTTTGGGAAATATCCGAACCGAACTATACTGCGGCATTTATAGAATGAAGACATACTGACCTTATCAACATTAACATGTCTCGCCGTAGCACCTGCTCTTAACGCTTCATCTAGTTTCCTCTGTTTCAACATCACTCTCCAGCAACTTCCCAGCAAAAACCTAGAAAGCGTAACTACACCCAGCGTCACATAAACCGATTGCTTAACAACACTTCTTGCCCAGAATCCTCCAACCCTCCTTTCCCATAATATGTGCATGGCGAAATAACTAGCCAACAAAAGTAATACATTTTTCCCTCCAGAATTTTTGAAATCCCCCAACCCTCTACCACAAAATGCCGGTACACATTAAAGTTGACCTCGAACTACAGCAAAATCCGAATCGCCCAAAATATCTTTACCTCTTCAACACCAATGTTCTGCTTCTACTGCATGCTATGAAACCCAAAACTCATATTTTTATCAACAAAAAAAAAAAACGATTACTCGATGATGCTTCAACATTCCAAAAATGAACCAAGGCAATTAAAAAAAAACACACAAATGTTTTACCACTTGTCCATCAAACATAACGATGTAAATTTCAAATAACAACAATTCCAAAACTGAAAAACCATTTCTTGCTAAATAAACTTTTGTAAAATTAAGCTAATTTAAGGAAGCTGTTAGATCAGATTTAGAAGAAAAGCACCATCCAATCACCACGAAGGCATAGAATGCCTTTTCTTTTAATAGCAACTTTAGAATACGAGTAATAACATTGGTGACTTCGCCTTCATAAAATTCCCTTTTTCTTCTAAATATTTATTTCTTCTTTCCAGCTGGTGCAGCAGCCTTTTGCGCTGCCTTCGTCACTTTTCCGGCACCACCTTCCGTTTTTTCAACACCTTTGATAACACCAACCGCTACCGTTTGTCGCATATCACGCACAGCAAATCGGCCGAGTGGCGGGTATTCGGTGAACGTTTCAACACACAATGGCTTAGTTGGGATCAAATCGATAATACCAGCATCGCCCGATTTCAAAAACTGCAAGCGTTTTGAAATAAAATTTCATGTTAAAAGAAGGAATGAAATACATGTGACATTTTTATTTAAATGACCCACAATTCAAAATCTTCCTGACATCAAGACTTACTTTCGGGTTATCTTCCACCTTTTTACCAGATCGCCTGTCTACCTTCTCTTTTAGTTCCGCGAATTTACAAGCAATATGAGCTGTATGACAGTCAAGAACTGGAGTGTATCCTGCAGCAATCTGACCAGGATGATTCATGATAATGACCTACAATTGTGATATGACTGAAGAGTACATATTTTGGACAACTGTTTCGTACAAAAAAATCTTGCCAAATGCGATAATCTTGTTTACCTGAGCAGTAAACTGCTTGGTTTCCTTAGCAGGGTCATTCTTTGAATCAGATGCAACCGAGCCGCGACGAATCTCCTTGATAGACACGTTCTTGACATTAAAACCAACGTTATCGCCAGGAAGAGCTTCTTGCAAAGCTTCATGATGCATCTCAACTGACTTCACTTCGGTCGTAATATTCTGCGGTGCAAACGTTACCACCATGCCTGGTTTCAGGATACCAGTCTCGACGCGACCAACAGGTACTGTTCCAATACCTGAAATAATGAAGCATCAATGAACAAACGACATAAAAACAATTATCAAATTTTCATTCTTCGACGAGACCTACTATGATATGAATGAAGAAATCAAATTAAGGTCTTTCAAAAAAAAAAATGATAATGGATAAGGAACGCACCTCCAATCTTGTAAACATCCTGTAAAGGCAGTCTGAGAGGCTTGTCTGTAGGTCTGGAGGGTGGTATCACCGCATCCAAAGCTTCCAGAAGTGTCTTGCCAGAAGCATTTCCTTCCTTCCTTTCAACTGTCCATCCCTTGAACCATGGCATATTAGGAGACGGTTCCAACATATTGTCGCCATTGAAACCTGAGATCGGGACAAAAGCAACAGCTTTTGGATTGTAGCCGATTTTCTTGATGTAATTCGAAACTTCATTTGTAACCTGAAATATCAACGAACTATAAATCATCTCCGACAATCACGAAGTTTTAATTCCGTCGTCTGCAAGCTAGGCCAATTCATTCCCAAACTGAAAACTTGACCTCATTGAATCGAGCTTCTGAAAAAGCTGGCTCAGTAGAATCCATCTTATTGCATGCAACGATGAGCTGTTTCACTCCAAGTGTCTGAGCGAGCAAAGCATGCTCCCGCGTTTGACCATTTTTCGAGATACCAGCTTCAAATTCACCAGTACCACAAGCAACTACTAAGACAGCACAATCTGCCTGCGATGTCCCTAAAATCTGACGATCTATTACCCAACATCCAGCATGCTAAAACTCCGCGAGTCCGTGCATGTTCAAATTTAATCACGTCTACTCAACTGCTTATATAGTAAGTGCACCATCAGGTTTTCCATCATTGGGATGGTTTCATCACATATTACTACAATGCAGAACAATCCCAAAAATCTGCATCGTTAGGACATGCAACAAAAACATCCCGCCGACGATAAATCCGAAGAATCTCGACATTAGACAAAAAGAAATGGGAAAAAAAGTTTGTGATAAGCGTACCAGTGATCATGTTCTTGATAAAGTCACGATGTCCTGGTGCGTCAATAATTGTAACATAGTATTTGGCTGTTTCGAATTTCCACAGGGCGATATCGATAGTAATACCACGCTCACGCTCAGCTTTCAATTTGTCCAACACCCAAGCATATTTGAATGAACCTTTGCCCATCTCTTGAGCTTCCTTTTCAAATTTTTCAATTGTACGCTTATCGATACCACCGCACTTGTAAATTAAGTGGCCCGTCGTCGTCGATTTACCCGAATCGACATGTCCAATGACGACAATATTGATATGAGTCTTTTCTTTTCCCATTGTATGTTCAAGAACTTACGGACGTTACGTCACGAGTTGACAGTAAATACACAACACTGAAATTCAGCTGCTAAATTGTTAACTTGTAGAGATGATAAGGGATATTGTACGAATGTCCAAGAGGTTACGTGCTCACACAATATTACATGAAATTTAGGGACTACTCACATCATTCATTACTGGTAACTTCTTAGCTATGAACCTAAACCTGCACATCCATCTAATCATTCAACTAAGCAAATTTCCTTTTGGCCTAAAATGCTCTCCACACATGACAGGTCGAAATGACTGCGCCTCGCACGGACATCTCGACATGCACATACTGTGCGCAATGACATACACATACGGACACGATCCCTTCTCTGTGTATACAGACAGACAAACAAGCACACTAACTAACAGAGAGCAGAGTTATAAAGAGAAGGTTGTATAGCATTGCCGAGAAGACAGGCATAACAGTCAATATGACACACACATGCAAGCAGACAGACACGCAAGAGAATGCTACGACCACATAGGAATGTGAGAGTGGATGGGAATGGGACAGACATCGATAGACACATTCCTATACAACCATAACATACTGCACTGCAGTGAGGATTGGATGAGCATGGGCAGGGAGAGGGAACAGTGCATTGCACATTATCGATTTATTATCCAACTATGGTGGCCTAAATTCCGTCTCTTGCCTCTTGATTTGACGGACCTCGTGAAATTGTGCATCACACGTTCTTCCCCGCCCCCCAACAAATCTACTGAGGGTTGTATATGACTGTCTAATCGTGCATGACGCACTGAACGTGGCTATCGTCACTTTTCACGGAAAGCGAAGGAGATACGATGAAGAGGAAGGAACAGAAAATTCAGTGCTGCTTGTGAACCCTTCACAGGACAAAAGCAGTACGCATGGATAGATAATGCATTTGCTGCGAGAGAAGAGTGCCTGCACACATACAGATGTACAGGCACACGCACGCGCTATGCACACATACATGCACGCACATACAGACATAGTTGCATGTGCTGTCGTTATCACACGTTGCAGCTCTCTTCGATTAATGCAGAAATCACGGCTGCAATAACAAATGTTCTTGCCCCTTCTCCTCTATTAATAAATACCAAAGTGTTTCTACCAAATACCAACAGAAACTGGAAGTTGGAAATCATTACAAGAGAAAGGAAGACTGCACTTGAACTGACAACGATTTCCAGTAATACTCGAGAATACGTCTGACGTGGAAGCTTAAGTCAGAATAAGATCTAAAGTAACACACATCAATGATGTGAATAATAGGACCAGAAGAAAATCGCATTTACCTTATAATTGTCCGCAGTACAGCTCATTTACCCTATAACTTCATTTCCACTGACAATCACTTACAATTTTTACACAACCTATTAGTATTTCAAGGTTGTCACTTGTAAAAATACTGGAATGTGGGGAAGGTATGGGAACAGGGAACATATGAAAGACGTATGTTGTGCCTTTTAAAGTATTCTTAGCCAAGAGGAAGTGCCTCCGTTCAATTAAGCAAGGAAAGGAAGATACACATGAATGAACCGATATTTCACAGCTAACCTCGGAGAGTGTGAACGTTGGCCAACTGGTAAACAGCTCACTGACCTCAATGAAAATATTCCATTCCCAACTCCATATCAAAATATGTGAGTTTAGGTGGCGTAAATTATCATTCGATGATCTCGAATCTGTGGTACTACTGATAATGCTCGTGTGGAAATGAATACTTAATTTTCATAATTTTTTAAAATTCCACAAACGTAATCTAAATCGGTAATTGATGAAAATTTATTACGATGAAAATTAAGGAAAAATATTGAAATCTTATGTAACTCATTCCGAAAAGTAACAATGTGTACGAGGATCTCAGGCAGAAAGTTTTGAAAATTTTGCTCAAGTAAAAACCGACGTATCAGATATGAAATTACGAATGATATTTGATCATTCAATATCGTTTCCTAATATGCAACAAATATTAAGAAATGTTCTGAATGTTCTGAGGTATTTGATACAGCTTTTCAATTAGGGTAAAGGAATGGTTTTATCGTGATCCAACGCGAGGATGATGAGATTGCAGGTAGGAAGACTATCAGGAAAAACTTTTAAATTTCCTTTACTGAATTAATATTTGTTGCATATTAGGAAACGATATTGACAATTATACAAAAAACTCTGTTCAGGGCAACATCTAAATGTAAATGGCAGCGTATAAAACGTGATTATTAGGAATAAGAAAGTGGAAAAAGCCCAGACCGTACACTTTCCAGCATCATAAACGGGGACATGAAGTGGACATGAACAAGAATCTTTCCTGAACAACGGATGAGACGACGAGGTTTCACACTAACCGCATTCATGAAGTCTAACTTTCCGTCTTGTCCGAGACCGTTCGGTTGGGATGTTGCTGAAGCATTGAAAGCTTGGTTCTGTAGGGGCTCTTGACTCGGTTTGTTCGGACATTGGACGGAATTGAAATGTTTAAATTACTTTGTTTCAAAAAAATAAGCCCAGTTTTTCGGCATGAATCGATAATGTAAATCTAAAGTTACAATCTGTTTATTTAAAATCGCTTTATTTCTTTCTGTTCCAGAAGAAATATCTTTGCTTATCGTTTTCCTTATTGTTTTGTTATTGCCATGAAGACTAATCCATTTGACCTCAATGCGAGTAATGGTATTTGCAAAATCATTCACCGTCATCTTTCGCTTTTCCTGGCGATTAAGTTAATCGATTCCCATATGAAGAAATAATTGAGAAAACCCAAATATCCGATAGAAAATTCACGGCAAAAAATATCCTCAATTAAGTTCCTTATTAAATTCCTGATCGTTACATGAACTCGAATAATGGAACTGGCAACCAAAAAAATCGAGGTTCTAAATTTCATACTTCTGTTATGGTGACCTGATCTCAATAACTTGACCTCTGTGAATCAACAACATCCGCAGCACACTACCAAAGCTCAAAAGAAATTTATGTCTAATTTTTCGATAACATATAAGTTATGTTTAGGACACATGCGGTTTTGTCTAAATTTGAATTTGAAAAATTATATATCATTTGGTCTAGAATTTATGCATTATATTAATCCGATATTTATCAGATAAGTGGGAATTTCCTAATTTTAGAAAAAATTGAAAAAAAAATCAAATTTTAAAAAGAAGTGAATTTGAATTTTAAAAAAGTCAGAATCGATTTCTTAAGTAATACTTTCTAAGCTTGCACAAGCACAACAAAGTTTTTGGATCAATTTTTTCCGAAGGACTTACTTGTTGGAAGGTGGATCAATTCTACGCGAAGCGCTAAACAAAATGCTTTCACTTTCAGCAAAACTTTCCTTTGAAAGTAGGGGAGCATTTTCAATTATTTATTCATTTATTTATTTTTTGATAGCTAATTCATGATAAACAACAAAAACATCACATTGGGAAATAATGATAATAAAAATTATACTGCTACTAATAATAAACAAAATCATTTTTCGGAATGAGAGATTTTTCTACATTTTTAATATTCTACAGAATTCTTTAGTAGGACAATGTTATGAATCTTCTGGAAAGATCGTAGCATTTCTTTTTTCTGGAAAGAATATTTAAAGTATATATGCTCTTTCCATATGTTTGCATAACTGGAATGTCTAACAACCACTAAAGATTACATCGGTTTTTGCAGAATTTCATATCATTGATCTTTTTGCAATCGATTAGGTGATTAACAGCTGCATAATTAATAAATTAACAGTGATGCGGAACGAAGTATCAACCATAATATAATTATACTTTGAATAAAACTTTGCTTCAGTAAAAAAAGTTGACATATTTAATCATTTTTTATTCAATTCGGCTGTTTGATTCTGCTGCTGATAATGATTTTTGTTCATGAATTATTTCTAACAATATGTTTATTTAAATTATTTAAAAGTTATAAAAAAAGCAAAAAAAATTTATTCTTGTCAAATTACCATTTTTTAAAGTTTATTGATGCACGAAATTTCAAATATGTTTTTGGAATATAAATTTCTTAATTTTAAATTTCTTAAAAATTTCTAATGTGGCAATTTTGCAATAAATACAACGAAATAATTTTTTGTGGATGAATAATTTAACACTTAATTCGACCGTCAAATTTATGCAGAAGACCATTTTTAGGCGAAGAGTTGAAATAACTGAAACTCGTTAGTATGATTTGTTTACTGACATTTTCTTCACTTATTTAAAACATCAATTTTTATTTTCTCTCTTCCATTAAAAAGAAAACGAAAAGAGAATGCTACTCTGAATAAATATTCTCCTGAAATCGTGAAAGAAAAAACTGATCACATTTTTCAATGTGATCAGTTTTTTCTTTCGGAAATTGATTATAGTTTTAACTAATCCATCTACTCCGTTATCATATTCTTAGCAAAATTATTCTCAAACATTGTAACAGTGAAATATAGTGAGACAAAATTTGATTAAGCTTTTTGGCTTTTTGTTTCGGTCCCTCAAATGGACGACTCAATGTTTCACTTCGATTTCTCGGAAAAATGCAAATAGAATTGAATTCTGCATTCAATTAATTCTAACTCACATTAGTATGCTAAGTTTCGAATTTCATTTCCAAGTTAATTTAATAGTCCTCAGAGCACTCATGTCAGACGTCATACTGTTCATTTATTGCGCAAATGCGTCGAAAACGTTAAACCACTTGGGATAATGAATCATTTTCAAATTTTTAACCGCCCAGGAAAAGTTGTGAAGAATTTTTATTTTCCTTTTTTAATCAAATTATTATATTTTGAATAAAATATTGCCAGATATGGTTAAGGTGAAAATTTAGTTCACTTTTGCTAAAATTGGCTAATCACTAAGTCTTCCTTTTTTTGTTTACTCTATGAATTTTTTTCTGGACATTATACATTATAGCACTTTTTTAAAAAATTAATTCAAACTTAATTAGCAGTGAAAAGTGTGCTAGGAGTACTTATTCCAAATTAGTTTTAATACAATTATACTTTTGGGAACTGTCCATTTGGTGGCAGTCGTCAGCAAATTGTTTCATTCTTTTTCTTCTTTCTTCACCATTTAAAATTTAAATTTGAGTAGATGAATTGTAAAATAGAAATTTCACATAACAGTTTTAGCTAATGGGAGTTCAAAATGCACCAAATAAATTATTTTCTCAAATTTCGACCATTTTTTTATTTGAAACGATGAAAGCATCAAAAATGCGATATTATTTGTCACCATAAATTTGATTTGTTAATAAGCACTTCATGTAAAGGAAGGAAACATATTGAGGACAATTGCAAAAGTTTAAATTCCTCTTCTTTGTATCCATTTCGATAGCTTCTTTTGCTTCTAATTTAATCAATTTTTTCAATATATCGCGATGCCACTTCAATTCTGATAAAAATAATGATTTTGAAGAAAAATTGATGAAATTGATTGGAATTGATCAATTGGTTAGGAAATGACAAACTGAATGGTAATTAATGAACTGAATAGGAATTGATAAACCAAAGGGGCATTGCTGAAGTGGATAAGGACGAGTGATTCAATTTATCAATTGATGATTTATTCTTAACTATCGCATGCTTTCATTTATGTAAATGAAATGCTCGTGACGCCTTTCTGCAATGGCGCAATCTGAATTATATCACAAGACAAATGTTTAAGCCTTTAAATGAGAGAATAAATAACATTCTTAACTGATGAATGCATGCTTAAAAATTCATCGACAGCTGAATGAAAAATTGTCCCCGTCGAGAATGATTTTCTTCTTGACCATCTTCTTCGGAATAATAGCCAAGTTCGTCCTAGCTCGGTTTTTCCTTTATTATTTCAATAATAAATTGCAAAACATTGCCACTCTAATATATCATCATTTTGCACTTCACAATAACATTAAATTTCCATATAAATCCTTCCCTTTTTTTTCAAACAATTATCTTTCGCTTCAAAAGGTACTATTTCTCCTTACATTATAATGCATTCATTCCAATACTTTTTTTCGTCATCTCACTGAAAAATATTTCACAAATAACATTTAAAAACTGAAACATCTGTATTAGAATTTAATGCTGAAAAATTTAAAACCTTAGGTTCGATAAAAAAATTATGTTACGTATTCTTTACTTGAAATCTTTGCTTGCATTTCTGACTAATTAGTTTTTCAGCTCATTTTTGTTCTTTATTTCAAAATTTAAATGGATTTTTTTTAATTTAATTTTTAGCTTGATATTAATTTCTAATTAGCTGATGGGCTGATAGCATTTATACACTCAATGGATTGGTAAGGTTTATACGCTTTTTTTGTCAGTATAATTAAAAAAACTACGTAGCAACAAATAATTCGACATTGGAAATTGTAATAGGTGATGTGCTAATATTGAAGTGATTAATAAATGAAATAATTAGTAGGTAAGTGAACTGATTTCATAATTGATCCAATATGAAATGGTTTCTCATAGAGAGATGAAATGAAGTAAGTCGTATCATTGCTCTATAACTTTAGATATGGATAAACGTACAAAGAAAAAGCTCACTAATATTAGCAACATTTGTCTTAATATCTTCACATAAATGAAATAAAAATTCTAATCTTAATTAATGAAATATCCAAAAAAAAATCAACAACAACTTATAAACGATCATCTTGATAACTCCTGAACTTTTTTAAATCACTTTTGAATGATTTCAATTATTTTTCAAACAATTATTTCAATTTTATTTCACTTTTTTTCTCAAAAAGTAAAACGCATTCGTTTATTATTTTCCTGTTTTTTTCCTTTACTTATAAATATTAATGGCTAATTTGTTTAAAAAGGGGAAAAAAATGTTAATTGAAGTATTTGAAAAAGATTATAAAGAGGAGGAAAAAGTGAAGAGGGAGGAAAAGATGAGTGCCATAGGCCAGAAACTATTAGTCAATTACTTTTGTGGGCAAACATTTCATGGATTTAACAATTGTTTGAAGAGCTTCCGCAATATATTAGTAATGCCACTCTTTCATTATTCTAATTTTCTTTTTCCTTTTCATTTTTTTTGAATTATTTGAGTAATTTATATTAATTACTTGTATACCAATTTATTACAGTAAAAATCGGAATTTCTTATGGAATACAATTATATATTTATTCATATTATACTGTTACCATTACTTTCGTATTCTAACACGATGGTTTATTATTCATCAAATAATACTTTCAAATGGTTATCACCATTCAATTATCAGAATAAGTTAGCAACATTATGCACTCAGAGCAATCGACAAATAATTATGCATCGTTCTGGAGTATCTTTGGTTTGTTTAATTGGTAAATTATAACAAATAAAAATTGATTAATTGAAAATTTTATTAGCACTCAAAGCAGAAAAAAGAGTTAAGAAATTGTGAAAGAAAGTAACAAAATTTTGAATTTGCTAAAAATTATTAATATCATGATTAATTAGCACTTAAACATTTAGGTCAATTCACATATCTTTTCTGCACATATCTTTTGTTAATTCACATATCTTTTCAATCGTTGCAATTATAGAGCAATAGTTCGAGTACATTAGTTAAATTATTAATATAGCTGAAAACTTTCAAATCTATTTCAAATAAATTTTTCTTCGAATGACAACAAAATTTTTTCAAATGCTTAAAATAATTTTTTTTGACTTATAATAAAGATTAAAAATTAAATGGTGTGATTTTTTTTGTAGCTTTATCGTTTACTCCGAAATGATGCATTATGTTGGCCTGAAATTGAGCGTTACGTGCCACCACGTCATATTGCGTTAGTATGGTTCATGAAGGCCTTACAATATTGTGACATGAATAATGTCTTGAGCTGGCGGAAACCTAGAATTCTGTATAATCGAACATTTCAAATATTAATTACACGAGCCGCCTTTGCTTTGGTAAATAATTGTTGATTGATTAGTCAAAAATTCAGATGTGAAACAAAAAATGATCATCGACAAGAGAGGAAAGTTCTTGTGTTAAGAAAAAAACCAAAAACTTGGACATTTGTTGAATTAGTAATGTAGCTAAAAACTCTTCAATCCATTTAAAATAAATTTTTTTTCGTAAGAAAAACAAAAGTTTCTTCAAAAGATAGCAGTTTAAAAAATTTTTTTCTCTTTGCAGAAAATTTTATTTATTTTCAGGGAAAATTTCCAAAAAAAAAACATTTGCACATTCATTTTCAATCAATCTTAAAAGTTCTGTCTTGAAATTATTTATTAACTAACGCAAACTTAAATTTTAAGAAGGTTTTCAAATGGAATTCTTTCAAAATTAAATTTAGAACTGAAATGGCTAATTTAAGATTCATCATTTTTTCTTTTTCAGGTATGTCAGCAAGCTAATGACATAAACCTTTATGGATTGGTAGAATATGCAGATTTATTTAGAATGCTTTTCGAAGATAATAATACAGATCGCAGGTAACAATAAGCTTAAAAATTACGCAGAAAAATTATTAATTATCAATCAAATTAATGATTAATTACCATAATGTAATAGTAATTGTGCATTAGTAAAGTTGTAAATTTATCATTTCATATCTGAAAACGATTGTTATGATTATTAGATCTATTTAATTTCCGTGATTTAATTATCGTCTTCATTATTGCTAATATCTCATTCTTAATTAATATTTGTTATCCATTTTGATTGCTGATTTTAGTTAATCTTATAAAAACCGATAATGACAATCATTGATGATAAATATAAGAAGAATTTCAATTAACAAATTCAACCATTTATAGCATCATTTGTCAACAAATACAGAGCACAAACAAAGATTTATTTCAACGTTGTATTGCAAACAAACCAGGTGATAAGCTACTTATTCTTAACAAGGTATTTATTTTAACTTTTTATTCCCTTCAATAATTTTATTTTATCAATTTTGCAACACTTGCAGAAATCACTCAGCTTTAATCTCTTCGCTTTATATCAGAATGAACAGCAATATTGACCTCATTTTCTTTTTCAGGCAATTGAATGAAATGAAATTTTACATTTTGAAAAGAATTTCAGATGTGTTCCGGACATTCAATGGTACGTTTGATTAAGACAAGTACATTTTTCCAGCGTTTTGCTAGAAATTGCCATACATTGCATGATTTTTCCATAAATATACTACCAAAATATTCATCATTTGGTGAAGCACTCTCCAATGATATATATTTTATGAATTTATTAAGGTTGGGATTATAAATTAATTTTTTTTTCATTTAAATTAATAAATATAACTAAATATAGCGCAGCATTATCAAATTTGAAAATTTTATTCAAGAAAAAACGTAAATAATCAAATAGCATTAATAGTTGCAAATAATCTCTAATATGCATGAAATAGATATAAATTATAAAATAATCACATTTTCAGTTATTTAGTATTAAAATTATATATTCATATTGTTCCAGTGGTTATCTCACATCAACAATTAATAGTGACAGTCGATTGTTGGAAATTGTTTTGAAGACACGCTTTCATCTTCAACTTTTCAGCATTACCGCTGTCAAATTACAGCATCAACTAGACAAAATTAATATGTTAGCATTAATTTTTAAGTAATTAGAAATTGTTTACTCATCAAGTTAAAATTTGATGTGAAAATTTCAAAAATAACTCAAAATCTGATGATTTTTTGCTTTTCCCTTCCAAACTTCAGTCTTTGTTAAATTAAGAGAAAAAATTTTTTACTTTTAATTTTATTATTGCTTACTGCATAATATTATGTAATATTTGCACATTAAAAAAAAGATACAATGTAAGAGAATATTTTATTAGCGATGCGGAAAATTTAATGAGAAAATGCAATTTTTAAATTAAATAATTTATAAATTTTAATTTCACTCTTCGAAAATTAAAAAAATCGTTTGTTTTTATCGAAATTAACAATTAAAAGTTAAAAAATTTGTAAAACTTCTGCAATTAGGTGTGTTAAACAACGAGAAAAGCAGGAACTCATTTTGGATAATCGGGAAGACGACGATAATAGCAGCATCAGTAACGATAGGAATGATTTTGTTTATGATAATGATGAGAGTGATAACAGCGAATTCAATCATTCCTCATGTGAAATTGCTCATTCATATACAAATTTGCTCATTCATGAACGAACAAGTACAGAAATTAGGTAATCATTTATTGATATTTAAAACAATTTAAACATTAATTTGAAGGAATTCGAAATTGTAATTTTTTTCTTTCTTAATAGCATATATTTTAATGTTACAACAATAATGTTAAGAAAAATATTACACTAAAAAGTGATAATATTGATTAATTCATCAAACAAAATTATCAATAGCTTCAATTCTTCGCATAATTAATAAAATTATTTCATTTTTATTATGGGGAATTATCAATTAATTTGTCTTAGTAAATCAGTTAACATTTAGAAGCATGTTTTCGTAATCATTATAAAAATATTATTAATTTTTAATTTAATATAGAAATTTTTTGTTGCAGAAATATAGCTTGGTTTGCTGAAATTGGTCTTTATCTTGAAACATTTCTTTTATCATTGGTACTAATTGTTACTGTAACTTTATTACTATTACTGTGGAAAACACATAAACATTTATCGACAGCAATGGTGCTATTTATATTTAATATTGCTTTTTCAAATTCTCTATTCATCATATCGTTTATTTTTATGCTTTCGCAAACTATCAACGATAATTCGTACCGAGCATTGTATAA